TAGAATATAGAATAGAATTACAGAATAGAATAATATAGAATAGAATATAGAATAGAATTACAGAATAGAATAATATAGAATAGAATAGAATATAGAATAGAATAAAATTACAGAATAGAATAATAGAATAGAATAAAATTACAAAATAGAATAGAATTATAGAATAGATTAGAATAGAAAATAGAATGGAATAGGAATAAGAGAAAAGAATAGAATAGAACAGAATAATAAAGAATAGAACAGAGCAGAGCAGAACAATAACTTTACTGTCACTTTGAATGTACATTGATCGGCATACATTAAAATGAAATTTCATTGCATACGGCTCTCAAAGAGTCACCACCTCCCATATACACATGAACATGAAAAAATAAATGCATATACAAATATACAAATATGCACATACCCACATATATGACACAGAGAGACAACACAGTCTACTTTGGATGTATGCATGTACAAGCTGGGAAAAACGAATCTTGCGAGTTTACCAGATGGATGGCCTAGGGAGCAAAGCCGTTACAGAACCAGGTAGTCCTGCTAGAAATACTTTGAAACCTCCTCCGAGAGGGGAGCAAAGTCTGTAAAGTGGGTATGTGGGGGGTCTTTAACAATGCTGTGAGCTCTAAGCACATAGCGCTTATAAGCAGTATCCTGAATAACGGGGAGGGAGCTTCCTATAATCTTCTCCGCTGTCCTCACCACTCTCCATAGGGACTTTCTATCGGAGGCTCTGCTGCCACCAAACCAAACAGGGATGCAGTTTGTTAAAACGCTCTCAATTGTGCCTCTGTAAAAAAAAGTGGCCAGAACAGAAGGAGAAAGATGTGGTCTCCTCATCCGATGCAGGAAATGCAGACGCTGGTTTGCACGCTTCACTAAGGATGATGTTGGACTACAATTCCCATCACCCCTAGCCAGAAGGCCGGAGTCAGTCTGTTTGGAGAGGTTGAGAAGAACAATCAGAGAGGGCTCAGGTTTGGGAGAATCTGAAGGGCCCGTTTACTTACTTTTTACTCATTTATATAATTCCTAAACATTGGCTCCTTTCCGTAAAAATATTAGAACGATGGTTCTTTCTCCATGGCTAGAATTTCAGGCTGGGTTCCCATTGACAGGCTGCTTGGGTTCCCTTGCTAATTATAATTATGTTTTTTTTTTTCTCCCTGGCTTTTCAGGAGAGTCAATAGAGGATGAAATGGCCAAGCTTTGCAATCTTGCCCGGAGGTAGGTGCTAGAATGGCTTTTAATTCCACGTCTTTCTATCTACCGTCTCCTGTTTTTTTAAATGTTGAGATGGAATTGCACGCTCACATTCTTTTAGCATGTGTTTTGAACCTTTTATTTAATGATAGAACGAAATGCAAAAATACAAAAGCAAATAGGAGGACACAATGGGAAGGGGAAGGGAAAAGGGGGAAAAAAAAGGCGTTGACTTCTCTCTGTTGCAGTAAGGTTCCCCTCGCACATACGTGCTAGTCATTTCCGGCTCTAGAGGGCGCTGGTGCTCATCTCCGTTTCAAAGCTGCCGTCCGAAGACGTCTCCGTGGTCATGTGGCCAGCATGACTAAACACCGAAGGCGCACGGAACGCTGTTACTTTCCCCACAAAGGGGTCCCTATTTTTCTACTTGCATTTTTTTACGTGCTTTCAAACTGCTAGGTTGGCAGAAGCTGGGACAAGGAACGGGAGCTCACTCCGTGACGCGGCGCTAGGGATTCGAACCGCCGAACTGCCGACCTTTTCTGATCGACAAGCTCAGCCTCAACTTTATACTTTTCCATAATAATAAAAATTAGCATTAGAAATTCTGGAGTCAATTGGTCTACCTGGATTTAAGCCTTCCCCATTTTCTTTCCCTGTAGCTTGTCGGACCTTGAGGTACCCCAACACTTGCCTTCTTCAGAAGGACCCACTCCTGGAAAAGAAGAAACGGAGAGCGGAAAGGGAAAACCAACTGCTACCCCAACCAAGTTTCCACCAGGTAAACATTGGTCTGTCCGGGACGTTGCAGAAGTCGGAATAGCCGAATAACAGAGTTAGAAAGGGGGCCTCGGAGGCCTTCTAGTCTAACCCCCTCTGCTCAAGCCAGTGGGCTGGACTTGTAGGTAAAACTTTCTGCCTTCAAACACAGGAGGTGAGGAGTTTTCAAAAAGGACACCGTGCATTCATGGACGATTGGATCTAACGATAGTACCTTGGAGTCTTGATGCCGCTAAGATATCTCCTCCAGCTTCGGGCAAATTGCTACTAATTTAATTTACTGGGTGAGGTGACCACTCCTAGGGCAGATTTATGAATTTATGAATGCTTCTGACCGGCTGCTGAGCGACGCAGAATATTAGGTTAATCAGACCCTCGACCGGCTGCTGAGCGACGCAGAATATTAGGTTAATCAGACCCTCGACCTGATCCTTCTTCTTAGGATTTTACACGGCCTCCAAAGGTTGTTTCAGCTTTGCTTTGACTCATGAAGCAATAGCACTTAGATATATACAGCTTCACAGCCCTCTCTAAAGTGGTTTACAGAGTCAGCTTATTGCCCCCAACAATAAGGTCCTCATTTTACTAACCTTGAATGGATGGAAGGCTGAGTCAACTTTCTGAGGTCCAAAGGCCATCCCAGCTTTGCTTTGACTCTAGGAGCAACAGCAATAGCACTTATATACCACTTCACAATGCTTTACAGCCCTCCCTAAGCAGTTTACAGAGTCAGCCTATTGCCCCCAACTATCTGGGTCCTCATTTTACTAACCTTGAAAGGATGGAAGGCTGAGTCAACTTTATGAGATCCTTACATGGCCTTCAAAGGCTGTTCCAGCTCTGCTTTAACTCTCAGAGATATGCTAACTATTCCACCAGTGGTTTCATCTTCACCTGTGATATCTTTTTAACAAACAACTACTCTTAAAAAGAAAAGAAAAGGAATGCCCCATAAACTGCTAACCCAATAATCCGCCGGCAAGGATGAAATGCTAGGCGTTCCAACTTCAGAGAAACCAGTGTCGGGTTTCCAACGTTGCATTATTGATGGAGCATTGATCCAGAAACGCACACCTTGTTGCCTTCAGGTAGGAGCCTGGAGGCTCAGGTGACAAACTGGGCAGCGCCGAAAAACATTTGGTGATGGCCACAGGAGTTTGGGGAAGTTTTGGGTGGGTGGGTGGGTGAGCAGAACGCTACCGGAGCAAAGCAGAAATGCACAACAGGTGGAGAACCATCCGATGCTCCACGCATTGCACTCTCAAAGGTACTCGAACTTGGGCTTTCCGAGTTCTCCAGCCTGCCTGGGTTGTGGGAATAACTAGGAAGTGGAGACCAATATTTTTGGATGGGTCTGCTTTCCAAGGTCAGATCCTGGATGGAAGGAGAAAGGAGGTGAAAGGGGTGCAGAAAAGGAGACCAAAAAGATGGAATTCATGAGGTGAATTGGAGTATTACGGTCTTGCGCCGATCTGATTTAGTTACCAATAAGAGAAAAGATTGCTTTTTCTTATACAGTTGTGCTCACCAATGTTTTAATTTAGATGATTTTTTTTTTAATGTAGATGATTTTTTACTTTACTAACCCCCATAATTCAGGAGTTAGTTAAGTAGCTAAGCTGGGAAACTAACTTTGTCGTGTTAAGTTTCCTCTGTGGAGGAATTTTAATATCATCTAACACTGATCGCTTCAACTGCCTGCCGCCCTTTCTAGAGTCTTCTTGCTCTGTCTTTTAATCCAGTTTCTCTTGTCTTTCTCTTATCTACCACTTCAATCCAAAGACTCTTAAGTGACTACATTTTTTTAAATTTAGTCCTCTAGATAGCTGCAGTCCAACGAAGCTCCAGGCACCTTCCTTCCTCCTGTCCATCTCCTGCTGTCCATCTTCATTAGTTTTTAAGTTGTCTGAAGGGAGGTGGCATCAAAGAAAAGAATGGCTTGAGCAGAAGGCTTTTTAGGTAGACAAGACGAAGCTAGGCCTCCGCATGACGTAGTTAAGGGACACCAGGGGTGTCCCAAGTGGCCTGGGGGTGATGATAGTGTTTTTGAAGGTTTCCTCCCAATATCTGGAGGACCATCACTTGATCGCAGAAGATGTGCAGTAATCCTTAACTCACCGGGCTTCCCTGCCACCTCCCAACCTAAGCTGATTCAGTCAATCTCTGGAATTTCTTCAGAGCTGTTGATGGAACATCTCCAGGAAATACGCTTGCTGAGACAGCGGCTAGAAGATTCCATTAAAACCAACGACCATCTGAGGAAGCAGCTGGAACAACAGGTCTCAGTTTCTGTCCCAGACCAAGGTAAGATGCTTTGGAATGCAAGTCCTCAGAGTTTAGAGAACACTATGGTCGTTGTGTTATGGTTATCCGGCAGCAGGTGCGGACGGCTGAGGAGAGAGAGGACTCAGATGAGGGGCCAGGACCATTAGGGAGTGGACTGCTGCCTTCGGAGATTGTGGGGGGCTGGCAGCAGCGATGAGGAGGTTCCCGAGGAGCCTGTGCCAAGCGCACGTGCACAAAGGATTGCTTGCAGGAAAGAGCAGTGGCAACAGCACGGGCGACTCGGGAGTAAGGCTCCAAGGTAATGGCCTCTCCTTCAAGAAGATAAAAGCCAGCTGTGAATCGGATGTTCTTTGCAGGAAGCAAAGACGTTTTGAAACTCCAGCCTCGTGGACGTTCCAGTATCCTGAGTTTGTATTTGAAAATTCTTGTATTGCAAATTATTTCTTGTCTGTTATCTTTTGGCAAGTCTCGCACGGTTTGGCAAGGCTTGTGCTTATCACAGCTAATTATTTTGTAAAAGCATTACAAGGTTTTCTGTTCCTTTTGGATTGTGTTTGATTTCTTGGAAAAGGGCGTGGGTCAGTACACATCGTCCTCAGTTCAACCTTGAGCTACAAATATTCTATCAGAGTAGGTGTGTGTGTGTGTGTGTGTGTGTATGTGTTTGCATTCCTGGACTAACCACAATGCAGATGAAATGTCTGTGTTTTGGCTGGAGCAGCTCCCCTCTAAAACAGTCCGTTTTGCTTGGCAAAAAAAAACAACAACCCTCCATTGTCATCTTGCAAAAGTTGCCCCATGCCAGCATCCTCTCCTTGCCAAGCTGTTCTTCTGTTGAGGCAGTTGATCCTGGAGAGATCAACACCAGCCAGCCAGCCCTGACATCCCCCTTAAAAAAAAATAAAAAATAACAAACGCCAAACCTGCGGCAATTTTACTGGGGTTTCGAAAATGACAGCAAAGCTGTCCGTTTACAGTCTCTGGCTGGTAGCCCAGCCCAGTAGTATAGCAGCCTCGTTCCCAACTACCATTATCAGCAAAGGATATAGGCAGTTTGGCTGATATTAACCCAGGATTGAGAATCTGTTTAGGATGTCTTGCTGGAAGTCCAGCTGGATTCCATTTTGCCCTGGATTCATGATAACCTTCAAAATAAATCAGAGATAAATAGCTTCTCTCTCTCTCTCTCTCTCTCTCTCTCTCTCTCTCTCTCTCTCTCTCTCTCTCTCTCTCTCTCCCTCCCTCCCTCCCTCCCTCCCTCCCTCCCTCCCTATATATACATATACATATACATATACATATACATATACATATACATATACATATACATATACATAT